ATAGTATTGACTATGATGCTGATCATATTGCTAGAAACAAATTACTTTGATCTCATTTGTGTTATTTGGATTCTCTTTGTAGTGTTACTTTAGTAGATGAATCTCAAATAAAAGTTCGGGACAATGGTCAAACATACCATTTTTTAATCTTTCCTTGGATTATGTGCTTTATGTTATGGGTTGTCCTTTCAATCTAATTGAATATTCATAAGCAAGTTTACTCTCATTTTTAATTACTTTATTCCTTTTGTTAACAATGTTTTTCTTGTTCAGGAGGCATATTTTCACTCTTAATTATTCCAACTTTCATTGTCATTGCTTGTGCCTTTGATGCCTTTTCAGCTCTTGAGCATAATTTCTTAGGTTATCATAATCTTAGTAAATTGCATCTTATGGTTTCTAGTTTTTTCAAAATTTCATCTTTTAATTGTAAGTTGTGTTAGTAAGGAAAACATACTCATCACAGCTATAGAAGTGGCGTCAATAAAAATGTTTCGACACTCTTTGATTTAATTCACTTTGATATTTAAGATCCTACTTGTGTTAGTTTAACCTTAACCTATTATTATTTTGTTACTTTCATCAATGATTTTCTCACTATACTTGGTTATTCTCAGTGAAAAATCACTTCAATATTTTTCTTATATTTCAAGGTTTCTTGACAAATTCAAAATTATTTTGGTTCTTTTGTTAAAATGATACACATTGATAATACTCATGAAAATATGTCTTTCTAATTTAATCTTTTTTAACTTTATAGGACATTGTCTATCAAACATATTGTGTTTATATATTACAATATTAAAATTTTTTTTTTGACCATTGGTTGAAATTGCTCATAATCTTCTTCTCCGTAATAATATTCCTTCTTGCTTTTAGGATGATGTAATTTTAACTGTATGTCATATCAACCACATGTCTTCTTTTGTTTTTCAAAATTATGTTCTCTATTCTCTCTTATATCCTCAATATAAACTCTACCTTATTCCCTTTCATGTCTTTGTTTGCACATATTTTGTTCATGATCTCACTAGAGGTAAAGATAAACTCTTTGTCAAGCTTTCAAATGTGTCTTTTTTTTTTGGGGAAGGGGGGGACTACTTATGTCTTCAAAAGGGCTATTGTTGCTTTTATCCTCAACTTCAATGATATATTATTTCTATTAATGTCACATTTTTTGAGACATGCCCTTTCTTTTCCTCTTTTGTTGTTCTTAATCTTGGCTTTTTCACTCTGGATGTTCCTTCTATTGTTCTGGTTCTAGTCACTACTTATGCTTCATCTCTCCTCCTTATGTACCAATGACACTCTTAAATTTTGATAGTGTTTACTATTTTTTATCCTCCAACTTCATCTCTTGCTCTAATTAGCCCTCTACCTATACCGCCTACACCTAAACTTCTCACTATTTTACACAAATGTATTCAATGTTTTCATAATTTTTATCTTCTTTATGCTTGTACTTTTCATTATGATTGTTCTCTCTATTTGGATAGTGTATTTATTTTGTTTTTTAGGTAGATAACATCTTTATCAGTAGTGATGTCATAGAAGGAATTCAACGACTCAAAGCTTATCTTTTCAGTTAGTTTTCAGACAAAAAACTTAGGTCCTTTTAAGTACTTCTTCGGAATTAAAGTTTCTCAATTCACTTCTGGTATTGGCATTTCCTAGTATGCTTTGAACATTCTTATCAAGACTGACATGCTTAATTGTCATCCATGTGACATTCCTATAGATCTCAATGTTAAGCTTCTTTTAGGTCAGGGGATTCAATAAAAGATGAAGAAAGATACCAACGTCTTGTGGGTAAAGTTAACTACCTCACAATCACCGGACCAAACATCAACTTTGTAGTCAGTGTGGTAACCAATTTTTGAATGCCTCTTATGATACTTACTAGGGTTTTTGATCTTCGGGGTACATTAAAATTGTTCCAAGACGAAGGCTATTATATGAAGATAAAGATAATGTCAGAATCACTTGTTACGTTGATATTGAATGGGACCATCAAACAAAAGATCCACTCTGGACATTGTGTTCTCGTTGGAGAAAACTTAATTTCATATAGTAGCAAAAATTAAAACATAGTTTCTAGATCTACTATAGAAACTTTAATATTATGTTATGACAACAACTACATGTGAGCTTACATGTCTTAAACAACTACTTAAACAGCTAAAATTGGGTGACATATAGGAGGTAAAACTTATTTTTGATAATCAAGTTGTATTTCATATTATATTATCTTCCATGAATGAAACAAACACAGAGATAGATTATCATTTTGTAAGAGAAAATGTGCTTTTAAGAGAAATCACAATTGATTTTATCCACTCTAATGATCAATTGGCTAATATGATTACTAAATATCTTAGAGGTTCTTGTGTTGACTACATTTGTAACATGCTTAATTCATTTGACTTATATGCTTTATCTCAAGGGAGTGTGTTAGAAAATAATCATCACAAATAAAGAATATGGTTAAATATCTCATTATATGTAACCGTAAATTAGAGATTTATTATATTTGTTTATTTTTATGATCAATTCTATTATAATCTTTATTTGATTGTGATAAACAACATTCATAAACTTTTTCTTTATAATTATTTTATAATTTTTTATCAAATAAATTTTAAATCCTCTTGTTTAAATTTTAAATAAATAAAATTACAAATTCTCACTTGATACATAACTACCTAAACCTTTAATATACTCAAAGAATTACATGTTATTGTTATTGTGGTATGTAAATATAAAATAAATCCTTACATTTGTAATATTTATTTAATTTTTTTTCTTTAAATTTCTCAATGTACAACTTCAGGAAATAATCCACTATAGCTTAACGGAACTTAATTATCTTTTGCCACTTGTATTGCATCTCAAAGTTATAGCCAATGAGCTTGGAGACTCCCACAAAACTATTCTTCACTCATCAATCATTAACTCAACAAATAATATCGCTATTTATAATTGCTTGAACAACTGTATGAATTTATTCATGAACTAACTTCCAACCCTTTTATGATAATGTAACAATTCAAAACACTAAGAATATGTTTGATTTATATTTTAAAAATATTTTTTATTTTTTAAAAAAATATAATATAAATTTGTATTATATTTTATTTTTAAAAACTGAAAACTATTTTTAAAATAGAAATCAAACATTCTCTAACTGATTCCTATTTTATAGCAATGTAGTCCTTAAATTTCTGTTCAAAGCAATTGTTTTTACTTTTCAAATGATCGGAGACATCTATAATTACTAGTATAGGCAGTGTAATTGTCACATTCTTCAACCAATCAAAAGCTTCTTAATAATTGTTTGAGAGACTGAGCAATTCTGCCACAATTCTTAATAATTCTCCTGTAATAGCTTCTAAGCTCAAGAAAACCCCGTAGCCTTTAACACCTTTGATGCTATGTTTTCTAAAGATGAGTAGAAAGAAAATAAGAATAAAAGAATATGGTGAGGAAAAACAGAAGAGATATGAGATAGAAACAAAAAAAAAATAAAAAAAAATCTTCTTTTACTTGTTTGGATGAATGAAAATAAGAAATAAAAAAAGTAGTTTATGATAAAAAAAAATATATTTTTTATAATAACAATAAAAAATTTTATTTTAATAATATATATGTATTCTTATGTAATTTTAATTTTTTTTTATATAAACAAATTCTTACATCTTTTTCCACGTAAATAACACTATTTTGTGTGAAAATAAAATAAAATAATCCTCACATGAAAGTAACTCATGCAAGAAAAACATGCAAACTGATGAAAAAAATTACTTTCCTATATTTTTCTTTCTCTAATTTTTTTTTTTTTGGTTCAAGCTTTCTCTATCTAACTTAACCATCAAATCAAACAGATCATAAGTGTGGGCCAGAAACCCATTGCTTCCAATTTCTTTGGGTCAGTAACTACCCCATCAGAAGAAATTATACGACAGTTGACCCAAAAAAAAAAAAGCTCAAAACTAAGATGACCAAAATTGCATTTTGTTTTTTCATATTGATCTTCAATTCATTTTGTAGCTCCTTCAAAACTTGTTGCAAGTATCTAAATGGATGGTCATATGCTGGGTTGTACAAAATATACAAGGACATATTTCCTCAAAAATGATTTTAGAACTTCACTTAAAGTAGATGTGGAACAAAGGTTATTAGTTGAAAAAAGAAGAAGATAAATTCAGTTTGCATATCTTTAGCCATATTTTATAAATATTTAAATTATTAAAAGTAGGCAAACCAAACACATTTTCAATTTCTCTTCTAAAAGTGAGAAATTAGACATAAAAACAAACATATTTTCGAAATCTTAAAAATATAAAGATAATTTTTTAAAATATTAAATAAAAAATTTCTCAAACTGTATCTAGCCTTAAATATTTCAAACAATGACCTAATTGGACTATCCAAAAGGTAATGGAAGCTTCTAGTGTTGTAAATGTTATGAATGTTTTAGTTATTTAGTATTCCAATGATATCTAAAAGCATTTGTAATAATTTGACCAACTTTATATTATTATAATCTAAATCTATGTAGATACCCATCCTTAAACCATGTCATTGTCTAATATTTTGTTGATTGCTTTTAGTTTTCCTTTTGTTTTTTGGCTAGATGAGAAAGAAGAAAAAACGCAAGAAAAAAAGCTACTCTCCAAAATTTTATTGAGCTCGATCATTTAGGCAATGATAGTTAGTTTAAAATTTTAATTAAGTAAAAATTCTATTTTCAATTATTTATATCTCGAATGGTTAATACTAGCAACATATTAATTAACGTTTTTTTCACACTAAAATCTTTTAATTAACTTGCTAATAAAATAATAAAAATTGCCCTAGCTCCCGTTTCTCCCCAAAACCCTTCATGCAAACTGCCCTTGTGATGGTCATTGTTATTAAGAATAATCAACACGAACAATGAGAGATGAGTATGGGGTAAACGAAATATATTTTCAAATAAACGGTCAAGAAACAAACCTTAGGTTAAAAAACGTCTATAATATTTTGGTCAAATAACAGCAGAATAAAAAAGGAACAATCAACATGATGTTGCATCTATAAAGTGAAACTGAAATGATAGTTTAGGATGGGAACGCGGTAACCACTGACTATTAACATTTGAACCCTCATATTACAGAATACATGACTATGAAATAAGAATCGAATTAAATCAAGGCTTTATCCTGAACTTGAGACTAATTCAAGATCTATTTCCAACTTCATCTATTGTTATGAACTTACGATGAATCAAGAAGATTAGCAAAGATCTACCGTCATTTCTCTTCATAACTGACTTCATGATCTTGAATCTCTCCAGAGTTGACTAGGGGCTTGACGCTGCTGCCTTCTATTGCACCTTCAGATTTGAATCCGTTAGACATGTCTGAAGAATGAGGTACTGATCGATCATCCGGTGTCACTTCCTTTTGGACTACTGGTTTTGGGCGTCTGATTGCTTCTGCAGCCTCTGGCATTACTACGGGAGGAGGCTGAGGGGGAACCCATACTCGTTGAACTGGCTGCACACTGGAGACAGAAGGTGATCCATTATACTCAATTTCGTTATCAATCTCTTTGATTCTGACGTTCTTCGTTTGCAACCAGGGTACTTGGTTGTCGCCAATCTCTTGGACCTTGGAATTCAAGTCCTTGCCATTTACTTGAGAATGAATGACTTGGGTAGAGGTGATTAGTGCCTGACTGACTTCCCAAGGCTAGTAGTAGCCATGAGATGTTGAAGCAAATAATCAGTCATATGGAATAATACTACCATGAAAGGAATGTTAACAACTGTGCGTAAATAAATCTTTCACAAATACACACACATTATATGAATCCGATTTTCATATTATTCATTGATTAGAAGACATCTCATTGTAACACAATCCATCATATAATTTACATAGAAAATATGATAACCTCCGAATTTAGCTCGGGTCCTCAACATGTAAAATTTAAATTATTCATTTTTTCACGTTTTCAAATGGCAGATAATAATTGTTAGTGTCATAGAATTGGTTGCATGATTCTGTAATTCTACATGTTTATGATAACAAAAACATTAACTAGCAACGAAATTTATGCCTAGATCAACTGTCTTTTCCTAGAGGATCCAACGGTAAGTAATTATGTTAACACAGATGGTCAGTAATTAGAAGGCAAAGATTGAGAAATAATAATTTTGCAAATGAGTTAATTCACAGAAACACTTAAGAAATGGACCAAAATGACGTTTAAATTGAGACCTGTGTAAATAGTAAAAGTAAAAAACCCTAAGAAATGCAATGAAATATCTTAGAAAATATACCTTGGCTCTAGGTGCTAAGCGTGGCTTTGATGGTTGCTGATAAGGGTTGGGGGGTGAATCATCAATATCCTGCATTAAAATGCCATGTTGTAAAAGTAATGATGACCAGATAAAATTGGTAAAGCTAACACAGAAGAGTAATCTTATTTGCACGCTACAAACTTTTACTTCATGGTAGCACTACCTTTCATTTTTCACGTTTTACTAGTAAATTTTATTTCAATCAATATTTTATTAATTTAAATCAATAGTACAGAAATGGATGTATGCTTTTGGGTATACAACTACAATTATCAAGATTGAAATGCATAAAGATTTACTCTAATGTTAGAAGGCTTCTCCCCTCTTTGGATCATGGCCATTATCTGCAGAAAAATAATGGAAGGAAATAATCCACGCAAAGGATCATATGACCTCAATTAAAATAAAATAAAATAAAAGAGGATCTCATATTGAATATTTTCTAAAACATTGATTAATCAACATATGTAAAGCAGATAAAATAAATTAAATATGATGTAATTAGTACCAACAAATAAAGAAACAGCATAATAAACTGAAATTGAAATTTGATGTTACTAGTTAAAAATCTCAATCATGTGCATCTATTAGCAGTGTTGATTTAGGAAGTTTCAGATTTTGCCAGAAAACAAAGTGTTTATAATCCAAAGCTAGAGGCCTGGAGCCCAAAGTGTTTATTGGTCCATGAATGACATTGGCATGAGAGAATATATCAAGCACTCAGATATCATCTCGTGCCTAAAGAAAGGGGTTAAGAGGAGTAAGGGTGGGGAAGAAAACAAGGACAGCAAGATGACTTACCTCCATATATGATTTAGGATGAGGAGCACTGGATGGTTCAACAGATGCAGAGGGGGATGAAGATTTCACTGCAAATGACATTCTAATCATAGGTAATATTAAGAAATTATATTAATTAATTGAGATTAAATTAATGTATAAATTAACAACCTGACCGGGACTTATAGTCTGACTTTCCATTCACAATCAGTTGCGGTATCTATTTCCAATATTACAGTTGTCAAAAGTCAAAACTTGGTTTAGAGAACTCAAATGGGAATCAGGTGTGTCAAATTTTCATTAAAGAAACTGAAATATTCCTTATTACATGTATAATCTGACCTTTGAACTTCCTTGAGTGACTACACCTTCTTGCCTTGAGACAGAGAGTCCACTAGCAGCTATTTTTCATCCATAATTTGTCAGAAACAGATGATATTCAATAAGAACATAAAATTTAAAGTACAACCAAATACTTCTGCCTAGATATGAAGAATTTCTGACATGAAAAGACATTAAGTTTTCAAGAAGCTTCTAAAGATTGCAAGAAAGTAGAATTCAGGTCTTGTTGCACTGTAGAGGGGTCTAAATACACAGGTTTGCTAATGACAATCAAAAGCATTCTTCACAAATATACAAGTGCAATTGCCAAATCATAAACCAAATCCTTCAGAAAATATTCATGGCATTGTAACTGTTCATCTTAATCCAGTAAATTAAATGGAAATTTATAATTACCTTCCAATCTTGTTATTTCATTAGTCATCAACTTCATTTCCTGCACTTGCTTATCCAAAAGGCTCACAACTTCCACAAAATATCTCTTCACTGCAAGTATAAAACTAGATGAAGCAACAAAAGATGAAGGGACATTGGCAGTACTAATACAAATGTAAGATATTTTACAGCTTGCAAATTGAAGTTCTATTAAAGCACCTTCACTTTCTGAAGTCAGTAGTTCTTGGCATGCATTTGCCATGTCAGCAGCTGCAGCTGCAGCTGCTTTTGCAGCCTGTGCAGCTTCTTCTGCCAATGTTGATTTTGAGCCTGGTCTCTTTAATTGGTCATATTCCTCTTCTAGGACAACATTGCGTATCCAGGATTTTAACCGAGGGAGAACTAAATTCTAAAACATGGAACATACTTCCAAAGTTCAGCAAGGCTCAAACTACTAAGTGATAACATTTATGCATGGAGCAAGAAATTAAGTTAGGTACATAAAAAGATGGATATGTCAAACCAAGCAATATACTCCCCCATCAATTAAAATACCAATTTTGATAGCATCATCCAGAAAGGTCAGTGGAAAATAGACTGTGCATGGATTGGTTTGTCAAAAAACTAAACTAAATCGGCTTTGAATCCAATTACATGGATTGGATTTCAAGGCAATCTACTTTTTCTTTCTCAAAACCGGTTCAAATCCAAATTTAAAATTTGGTTTTGGTTTAAAACTGGTTATGATTCAAACTGGTTTTACATCCAATTTTTAGTAAAACCAGTTTTTTTTCTTTTTTTTTTTATAAGTTAAAACCAGCTTTAAATTCAGTGCTTTTAAGCAAAAATCAGATTCAAATCTAGTTATTTTTAGTAAAAATTACTTTTAAATATGGTTTTTATTTTACCAAACTTTGTTTTAAATTTAATTTTTAACTAAAATCAATAATTATAACTCTTCATTATAGGAAAGTCAAATCATAAATACGAGATATTTTTCAGTAAAATTTTTTTATTACCTAGTAATTTTTTTTATGTTTAAAAATTGAAAGAAAATTTAAATTGCTTGGGACACAGATAGAAAATGTAGTTATATAAAATTGAATTATATTAAATTAGACTCATTTACAAAGTTTTCCTTTCAAATAATCCTAGTATAACTTGTGTTGAACGTGTGTACTAAGAAAAGGAAAACCAAAATTGTATTCTTATTTAGTTTAGAACTTCAAGGTGGTGTAATGATAGAAATAAAAAAAAAGTTTATGTGACGATAAAAACAAAACCAAAAAACAGAAAACAGTGGAAAAACATTGATGAAACTTCAGCGTAGATGAGATCAATAATAATCTATGACCTGTGAATGTTTATTTTAGATTCTTATGAATAGAGATATTTTTCCACATCGGAATGCCTTATTTTTCTGAGAAGTTCTGAAACCTCTCAATTATCTAAGAGGAAAAACAAATGCAAATAAGGAGTTATTACTAATGTTTTGTTTACAAATCTAAGTACATATTTTTCGATATGAGATGTAATAAAAACAAAATGATAATGGAACTTAAAAAACACAAAGCAAGGGAAAAAGAGGTTGTGAATATAGCAATGCGAGACGCATGGAACATATACTAATTAATATACAAACAATTCCAGCTGCAGGGACTGAGTGAGCTAGTAATCCAAATGCTACAGTAATCCAACTGGATCCTAAAATAGATATGGATGCTAGACCAGATCTAAAATAAAAAGAATCTCTTTCAAATTGGTTTTAAATATCTAGTTTTTTTAATATAGTTTGGATGGGGTCTGGATTTAAGCCGATGAAACCAGTTATATTGAATAGGGCTAGCAAATACCTTAATTAGCATAACCGTTCCAACACTTGAAGCAGCTAGTAATCCAACCGCAATAAGGGCATGTGACCAGTGAAAACTACGGCGTGATAACATTCCCAACGAAGTAGTAACACCAGTGGAAGCTGGTGCAACCGGCTGCAAAGCCTGTGGTTGGCCTTGCAACTGAATGTCTGATGATGCCTTCAACTGTCCCTCTGTGAGCATTACAGTGAGCAATAAATTAATGTAACTGAAAGACGAAATCCAGTTCTATTTGAATAGAATAACTAAATGGAGAATCAACTAGCAGCTTAAACTAAGTCCAAAGTTGAAAAGGAAAAATGCAGAGAACCAATCTGAAAAACACTTCACCTTGACTTACACCAGCTGTCTGCACACTTGAAGGTGAATCCTGTGATTTGGAGTGAAGGTAAACCAACAACAAATGAACATACAAGAAACCGATAATCAATTGTTGGCTATTTTTAGAGATGAACGAGCAACAGAACATTGTAAAAGCTCACAGGCACACGCCGAAATGCTTCATCTATCTCCTCCTTGGTGAGGCCCTTCTCCTCCAGAAATGATCGCCTGCGGGCGACAGGGGAACTTCTAACCGTCGGGTGTGATAGAAATTTCACAGCATTCTGAAATTGTTCCTCCCTCATTGGTTCTGAGTTCACAAAGACCAATGTGTTTGAACTCCCTTTAACAAGCTCTGCTCCAGTATTATGCTGATCCCAATTTCAGCATCTAAGCCTCCAAAAAGATAACAATTGAATCAAATTTATCAATACACAAAATAATATCACCTACGAGTTCTCTGAAACTGCTAGAAAATCCAATCAAGCATGCCAATGATGAATAGGGACACACTAAAATAATCATGATGAAGGAAACTAACTTGACCTTTTAATAAGGTAATTTTCCCACAGAAATCACACTTTTTAAAGAACAGAACGGAGCATCATCTTAGTTCGTTTTCTTCTAAACTCAATAAAACATAGTAAAATCTCTATTTATTTATTTGCCGGTCTTAATTTAATTAGTGAATCAATGATTATCCAAAACGACAGGTATAAAGGTTTGAGCGAGCGAGAGAGAGAGAGAGAGCGTTGAATAGTTATTAGTGAGATGATGAAGAATCTTCAACGAGCAAGCGGAAAGAACGAAACACAAATCAGTGAAAGAAAAGAGAGAAAGTAAAACCTGTGTTTTGGAGCAGTGGAAATAGGAGAAGGGGATTCGGTAATCATGCGCACCTCCATCTATTCAGGTCTGTTTTAGCTCATCTCAGCTCAAGGAACTGCAACATAAACGGATTTGTCCTAAATATATTTTTAACTCAATTTTTTTATTTAAATTGTAATTGTTTAAATATTTTTTGTTTTTATTTTTATTTTTTAAATTTAATATTTGTAGTCTTTACTCTTTAATAACAATGTGATTAGCTAAAAAAAAAATTAGTATGTGTCAATTTTTTTTATTAGCTAAAAAATTTATGTGTTGATTTGTATTGTTCAAATTGTTATTATAACTTTAAAACAATGAATTTTAATATATTAGAAGTTGTAATTAAAAGCGAAATAAATAGGATATAAACAATTTTAAAATGAATAAAATAATACCATCGGATTTGATTAAAAATAAAAAATGGTTATTGAAATATTTTACTTTAGAATACTTTTGTTGTTGTATTTTATTTTTATATTTTGTTTATATAATATAAGTTAGAATATATAGCACTATGAATTCATACTAAACTTTTTGCTAAAAAATTATCAAAAGTAAATCTATCTGAGGAGTTAGCGCATAGTTGTAAGACTCCGAGGCCGATTTATTTAGTAAAAAATTACGATTCTAATTTTTTTTGTGTAAAAATTAGTCTTAAATTCTTTAAGCTTTGAGATATTTTGTAGTCTCTAACTTTAGACTTCAAATAACAAAAAATTAATATTTTCTAAAAAGTGAATGTAAAGATAAAATTTGAAGTTTTAAATTGGGTACAATTTCTCCAAGTATTTTCATATTAATGTTTACTCTGAAAGTGTAAATTGGACCATCAGAAAGACTTGTCTAAGATTATTCTAATTTTACAGTTATATTATCTTCCTAATTTATAATTTTGAAAAAAAAATATGGGCAAAATATTTCCATGATTTTTTAATTAATATAAATAAATTTTAATAAATGCTTTTAATTTGCTTTAAAAAGTAGTTCTAGAATATTTATATTTTTTACTTATTGTTGCAAAACATTGGAACTCTTTTAAATAGAAAAAAATTAATAAAATGGCTAACTTGTTCCATTATTAAAAGTTAGAAAATTAAAATAAAATAACATTGAGTTAAATATAAAATAAAACTACTATCATATTCATAAATTTAAATAAAAAATAATAATTCATTAAATCTTGCAAAGTTAAAGAATAAAACTAAAACAAACAAAATATCAAGTTTATATATATATATATATATATATATATATATATTAAAAAACAAGATAGAGAATTAATGAACTAAAGGCCTATTTGTTTTTGTTTTTATTTTTTAAAAATTATATTTTAAAAAATATTTTTGAGAAGAAAATAAAAATAACACATGTCTGTTAGTTTAATTTTCAAAACAAACAAATTGATGCAAAACTTATTACGTATTATATTAAAAATAAAAAATAATTTAAAAATAATTTTAACATCTCATATTAAAAAATACATAAACTCTTAATTATTTTTAAATTGAACTAATTTTAAATTATATAACAAAATTAAAGTATATGAACTATTTATTTTTCATTAGAATGTGTATTTTTTTATTAGAAAGTATAAATATTTTTATAATTTTAATAATATACTACGATGAGGAATGAAACGGAGAAAAAATAAATAAATAAATTTAGAGCAAGAATAAAATAAAAATAAAGTAAATTAAAGTATTATTTGAATGATAGAGGAGTAAAAACGTAAATAATAAATAAATAAAGTATATTAAATAATTAAAAATTAAAAATAGTTCAAATAAATTAATTTTCTCATATTTTTAATATTATTATAATTTAAATAATAAAAAAAAAGACATTGTTCTTTTCCTCTCTTTTACTTTTTTTTCATATTGAAGAGTTTCATTTTTATTAGGTATCACTTTTAAAATATTTTTCCTTCCTCTTCCTTCTTTTTAATTAAACAATCTAACTTTTTTCTTTCTTTCTCTTTACTCTAACCAAACAAAGTTTAAAATAAACAAATTCATATATATTTAGAATATATACATTTATGATTACATTTTTTTTTAAAATTTGACGAAGTGTTAGTGTAACATCTCTTATTTATTTAAAAAAAAAAAATTCTCCTTTTAAGTATAGAAATATTAATATGATGTGATTAAAATAAGTAAAAGATAAATAAATATAAAAAAATTCATATATGTAAAATTTGGATCACTAAAATAGACAAAATTTAAAACTTTGTACATATAAATTTCATTTGTAATAGGATTCAAGACATAATTTTAGAATTATAAATTCATAAATAAAGAAAAGGTAAAAATTTTATATTTACAATTAATTACTAAATATTACATATGTACTTTGAATCATTATTTAAAATGATTACATCTTATAAATAACTTTGAATGGAAACTCAAGTAATAGTATATTTACAATTTTTCTCAATAACGTAAATCCTGGAGAGTATTTTCTTTCTTACCATTCCTTACAAGTATAATCCTAGAACGGATTAAAATTTTTTTTTTATCACTTCATTACCTAAAAATTTTTTGTAAGGGTGAGCATCCTTCACCCTATGGAAATTCTTATTTTATAAAATAATAAATAATAATGCAGAAACATTTTTTAATACATGTAACAGAATAACAATGTTCTATACTTAACAAATTTAACCATACAAATTATTTATATACATCTTTTATCATTATTTATACATATTATATTTCTTATTTAATTAACCCAATCAAATTCAACATCACAATTCATACTACTTTAGTTATTCATATACTTTTAATTAACAAAAGTTATTCATAAATATTACTCCACATTTAACCAAATATCATTATCTAATCCATATCTTCATGCCACTTTATCCATCTCTGAACATCTCATCAATTAACAATACTCTAGGTACTCTCGAGCCCTTAAATCGCTGTCATCGCACTCTCCTTAATTACAAAGGACTTATGTAGCATGAATAATTAATGGTCAGTTAAATCACATACGGATATAACATATGCGTTCACAGTCTTCCAAACAAATGTATAGAGTTCGGTTAAGAAATGAGTGTGAGACCTGTAAATGCATCCAACTTTTACATCATGTACACATCAGTGAACTACATTTACCACTCTCATTTCCATCATATTTTCATAATCAACTCTAGACCTTATACCCCAGTATATTCCTGAACTATTCATACAGTATCTCAACAATGGTACATTAAGTTATATCATTCTAATACATATGTTGCAAACACACTAATTGATGTACTACAACACATGTGTTATAATCTCACCCGTCAGTGTATTACAACACATCTATTATAATAGCACCAATTGGTGTATTTGTAACACATGTACTAGTGTCTCTTTCTCTTTTCTCCACACATATTCATCACCTTTCAATTTTCACAATTTTTCTTACTCTTAAATCAATTGTATACTTTTTCAGAAATTCTTAAACATTGACACTTATTCAAACGTAACCCAATTCACACATATAGGATACGATACCTTTTATATCACTCTCACACAATAACAAACTTCTCAATTACGTATATAATCACAAGACAGACACATATCATCACACAATTCCATACAATATGTTGAGGGTCGGACACCCTCGGACTCAGCCCAAATCATGCAATCTTAAAATATACCATCGAAGATCACATTCTCTCGGTCTTAATAGAATTTGCTAGCCTAAAGTTCAACATATTTTATCTTTTCACTATTCAACACATATATTATAAAAAAATAGTAACGTATTCATAAAATTGTTTAACTTATTCTTACTCATGACTATTTATGATAAACTACATCTCAAGTGATTTTAAACAAATCAAAAACATCTTTTATACCAAAAATCTATTTCAAACTTGTTTAGTTTCAAGAAGACTTTATGAATTTACTTTTTAAAATAAGATAACACTCTTCTCTAAAGATTAATAAACATATTCAAGTAGAATCTAGGGTTCAAGAGTAACTCCCCTTACCATAAAATAAAGATCTAAACGAAGATTAATGATGAAAAACGTCCTAAAATAGCACTTCTACCTAAATAACACGAATTTATTCCTTAAGAACAAGATTCAAAGAAAACGAACAGTAAAAATACGATTAAACTTAGAGAAACTTACTTAGGATCATGTAGAATGATTCTACGATCTCAAATTCAAAGAATAATTAAGGTTTTAAGGAGTTTTATTTGAAAAGGAAGGGTGAAAGTTAAGAGAAATCAAAGGAAACATATGGTAGGAAATATGATTTTTCATACAGAAAAATCCTTAAGTACCCTCAGAATTGCGATATTCTCACTACAGCGAAACATTACTCATAAAATTGTTTAACTTATTCTTACTCGTGACTATTTATGATAAACTACGTCTCAAATGATTTTAAACAAATCAAAAACATCTTTTATACCAAAAATCTATTTCAAACTTGTTTAGTTTCAAGAAGACTTTATGAATTTACTTTTTAAAATAAGATAACACTCTTCTCTAAAGATTAATAAACATATTCAAGTAGAATCTAGGGTTCAAGAGTAACTCCCCTTACCTCAAATTCCTATATGATTATTTATTAAACCACTTTACATTCTTAGAATGAAAATTTGATGGCAAATTTGAACTAAACACAACACCAAGCTTCTCAATCGCACCATTCTCTAATGAATTCACCCTTTCGTTGAAATTAAACAAAGGCCTACTCTTTCTTTCTGTCTTCTCTTCTTTTCATCTCCTACTCTTTCTCAACATTTTCTACTTGCAGAGTCTTAGGGATGTTGAAGGATCTCTTTTCATTGTTAAAAAGTATGTTTGTTTCTTTTTCTTTCTCATACTCTATAATTCTGGTTTTTGTTTCATTTCAGGAACACACAACCACAATTTACTTTGTTCAACCTTCTTCCTTTTTCATTAATAACATAAAATATGCAATTGATAAGCTCCTCAATATATTAAAATGATTTATATCAATTATGTAATAGTACTAATTAAATAATATTGAGTTTGTGAAAAGTCTTACTACATGCAATAATTAGTCCCTGATGTTTTATAACAGTAAATGATAATTTATTATCTCAAACTGT